TTTGGTGAAGCGGAGACTCTTGAAGAGGGTCTTTCGCTGTCTGTATCGTCCATGTATATGTATATGTTCTCCTCGTTTTCGGAGTCCGACATGTTGTGCGTGTGTTCTTGCGTGTGTGCGTGCGTGCGTGTGTGTGTGTGTGCGTGTGTGTGAGGGTGTGTAGGTTTTAGTCGTGTGGGGATGCCCCCTTACGGGGGCGTACGTGTCTTTTGGTGTATTAGTCTGTCTGGTATATTGTTTGTCGGGGGTCGCAATTTTAAAGAAATGTATTCAAAAATAATGCAAATAACTGATAAATAAAGTAAAAACTTACCTGGGCATAACCCCGGCACAGATACCTGTAACAAAGATGCCGACGGCCTCTATGCTTAAGCCGGGGATTAGGTCGGTGGTTAAGAGGAAAGAAAGGGATTCTTTCCGGGTAGCCTTAATAAAGGCAGGTAGATCTTGCTCGTTGCAATGCACTTCACTTCACAATAAACACGTCCGCTCAGTTCGGCCGCTCGCTCGAGAAAGCGACTAGAGCAATGTGTGTATTGCTGGTTGCTGGTCTACAAATATTTTAAAAGTTTTTGTTTACAAAAAAACTTAAACTAAGCAAAAAACATGCGACTGTTCTTCATTTGTTTTTGTTGCATTCGCAGAAAAATTTTGAATATCTGGTACTGTACTCACTGTAGGATGTCGTCGTTCTATGTGTCTTTTTAAATTGGTGATTGAAGATTTATAACAAATATTTTGCTTGCATATATTACAACAAGCTTTAATTTGATGCGTTGGTAAAAATAAATTCCACAGGAAAGATTGTCTTCGTTTATTTGTAATAAAAATTTATTAGTAGTAACTTAGGACAAAATAACAGATCACTACGCTATATCAAATTCAAATTAAAATGCGAAAGCGAAATAACAAATTGAGCTAAATCTACGAAAGTTGGCACATGCTTGAAAAACAGCGCATAACGAAAGTATCCCTAACGCCAGCCGCTATTAAGCACGACAGGTGTCGATTTATGAACTCTGACGCGGAAATAAGGGAACATATCACGGTAGGAATGTATGCGCGCGCTACCAGGAGCTGTTCCGAAAAATCGCAGCTATTTGTCACTGCTCTGTTGCCGGAGCAGTAGCAGGTGTCACTGCTCCGCAAAAAGGGCGGTTTAGCCCATCTCTAGAACTGACCGAATCAGTCATGTTCCGCCCATCTCTAAATAGACTAAAGCACAGAGTATCCAATTATCTGTGACTAAAGTACGTCTGTATGCGTGTATGAAAATAAAACAATTTAAAAAGTAGTGTATGTTTATTAAAAATAAGTATAAAACGAGGATACCGATTAACAGTTACGTTTTCAAAAGCCCCTCTACCCCCCATAACTACGGCGCTACTAACTGAAATGTACAATTATTTACTAAATATTAAATGTATCAAGATCAATATAAACTTTTTTGCTTACTTTTGCCGAAGGAATGTTCTCTTAACGTCTGTGTACTTTCTGGTACGATCCCTGCATAATGCAGGTAACGAAAATTTCCTAAATCTCGGCATCACTAATATTAATAGTATAATTTAAAATGAACAATGATAAATCATTACGCCTATGCTCGAGATAATGCGATGGCTGCTTGGTTGAATAGATTCTTGTTTTAATTTTATTGAATTTTAATTGCCAATGTGAAGGAAATAAAATTACAGATCACGTGGCTTGAAATCGTTTATGGAGGCTCGTCTGTATTAATAAATTTTATAAAAATTGAGCAAGTGATATGAAACACGAGGTTATTGCAACTCGACACTGCAAATTTAAAGTTAAATTATTTTTCATCACATTTAGGAAATATTAATAAAGTTTGTGTGTGGTCCATGGTATTTAAAAAATTATATATTAAGGTCATTTTTTAAATTACGTATTTAAAAAAATATTCTGTAGATATATCGCTAGTACAAAGGAAACACAAATAGCAATCTACAAATATGAAACACAGGTTGCTGGTTGTGAATTATTTTAATAGAGGTTTGATGGTATTTTCAAGTTTAATGGAATCGGCGGCAAATTTTCTGATACCATCCGAAAGTTTATCTGTAGCCATTTGATCTTCATTTAGCAACCACCTAAACTTAGCTTCTGTTAATTCAAGTTTATCCAAACATGCCTTCTCTGCCGCTTCCTTACTTAACTTCTTTGGGACGGGATCGTTGCTTGCTTCTAGTTCACCAAGTAGTTTTGGGCTGATGGTCAAAAGGTCACAACCAGCAAGAGCCTTAACTTCCTCTGTAAGTTAACATCAGTGTTATTAATATATATTTTTCAAAAAAATAACCACTGAGATTGATATACCCACCTATGTTACGGAAAGAAGCCCCCATGACAACAGTTTTATATCCAAACTTCTTATAGTAGTTGTAAATTCTTGTTACAGAAATCACTCCAGGATCTTCATCGCCGGAATATGTTTTTTGACAACTGTTTGCCACATACCAGTCCAGGATACGGCCAACAAATGGTGAAATCAATGTAACTCCTGCTTCGGCGCAAGCTACCGCTTGGGCAAAATTAAAAAGCAAGGTCAAATTACAGTGCACTCCATGTTTTTCTTCCAAAACTCTAAAAATATAAGTTTTTGTAGTATCAAGTCTTTATTTAAGAGTTATTCATACTTGGCCGCCTGAATTCCCTCCCAAGTTGACGCCAGTTTGATCAAAATACGTTCCTTTGAGATGCCCTCATCCGCATAGAGTTGAATAATTTTTAAAGCTTTTGCGACACTGGCTTCTTTGTCGAAAGATAATCTGAAAATAGTTTTCCTCATATTAGAAAGGATTATAGGTATTAAAAGACCAAATTTTATAAATTTTTTGTCATTGAAACTATTCAATGTATTGTTCGTGTTATTATAGTCGTTACGATATCAGTTGGAACCATATAAAAACATTTAACTCATAAACTCTACGGAATCCATAGGCGTCCAACATTTTGTCCTGTCTCATCTACAAATACTATATTTCGAGCTATATTCCTATTTAGTTGACGATATTCTCTAAATTTTTTGTAAGTAATCTTCCCGAAGTGCAACTATACATCGTGATTCCATAATTACCATACGATTGTCAAGTTTTTTATGTTTAAAACCGCATTGTAATAAAACATATCATAAAGTATCTAAAGGTTTATAATTATAATCAGGATAATCGCTTCATTTATCTCGAATCATGTTTAAAGTAGGAACTTTATTTTCTTTATACATATAAATTGTGCGTCCTATTACATATCTCTGGTAAACTCGTCAATATTCTTTAATTTTGTATTTTTCCGTTTCTTCTTTGTACTGTAATTAATAACGTCTCCTTCTTTAATTACGCGATAAATTGTCGTTTTTGATATCTTAGTTAATTCGCTAATCCGTTTCCTAATTTCTTTATCACATTGTTCACTATTTTCTCTTTTCAAATATTCATATATATTTAAAATAATACGTTTACTTGGTATGTGTAAATTTTTGTTTTTAAACTCTTGAGTTTGTTTCGACGCTTTGGACAAAAGCTGGCTCGACTATTTGGGGAATTTCAAGAGAAGTGCAGACGGTCCTGTGCTTTAAGATTCACAGGTTCCAATTGATATCGTAACAACTATACAATAGTTTTTATTTAATTAACTCTAATGTTTTCGTAATTTTTTTGTATTTAAAAATTACCAAAACACTAGTATTTGCAACATGTGTTTGCAGCTTACTCAAATTAAATATTTTTATTATTATTACATCCTTCATTGGCATCTTCTTTAATAAGTCGGGTAACTTCCCATTATAACTTACTATTCAACCAAAATAATAAACACGAATTTCGAAATTACGTTAATTATTCAAAATATTGCAAACAATGCAAATGCGCCTTTCTTATTACGTACCATTACCATTGATACCTTAAAAACAAGTAGAATCAGCAGTCATGCGCAGATGGCGAACTGAACTAACAATAAGTATTGAAATACAAGGAGCGTATCATTAATTAAAAGACTTCTTAGCCCTTCATAAATAATTTTAAAATGTTTAATTTACTACATTAGATTAAGATTTCAACAAATCTAAATTACACTTTATTTAATATAAACGGTTTAAATTTTAAATCAGTGAGACATCGCATATCTTTTAATTTTGTTCGAAAATTTCAAATTAAGTTTAAGTTTAACATATTGACTTATTACTATCATTTCTATTTGTATAAACTATTTAATATTATCCAAACAAGGCGAAATACTTAAAATCAATCAGTTTTCTTTGTTCAGTTTTGTTTAAAATAAATATTAAAGAGCAAATAATATTGTGCTTTAAATAAATATTATTTTTGTTTACAATACACAAACTTATTTACAAAGCTACAAAGAATTATCTATGAAATATTTTAAAAGTTAATAGTCAATTCAATAAATTATGGAATAACACCGAATACCTAAAAGCGTGACTGCATAATACGAAATTACTATGATGGAAACGAAAGGCTACTCACTATTTGATTAGTCATAAAGATAAATTCATAGATTTGTTTCCGTATCATGCGTGCGCAGTTATATTTTAATATCGTATTTTATAACGATAACCAAATAATGAATGCTAACTTTCTTTAACTTCTCAGACTTTCAGGGAGCCTTCATGATCATGAGAAATATTCCATAATTTTGCCCATGTGATTCACTGCGAATGACTGAATTTCAATTTTCGTCTATATATTTGTAATATACCTTCATAAAAGAATACAAGCCACGTGACCGGAAATTTTATTTGGAACAGTAATTTTATTTCTTTCACGTTAGTAACTAAATTTCGGTAAAATTAAAACAATAAGATCAATATTACACTAAAATGCAAAATTCTGTTTTCAACCAATCAGCGATCGCATTACCTCAAGCGTAGACCTGTAGGATCGTATACGATGCAAAGTAGAGCAAAAAATTGTCGGCCTTTTATCAAAAAAAAATCGTGTCATCATTTTTAGGAGGCGTAAGATAAATCATTTCAAATTTAAAATGAAATTCAATGTAAAATCTAAAATACCGCTGCATACGCACTGTGTTCTGGTAGTAGCTGTGGTCGCCCAGGTGCATCGTGTACGAACTGGTCGGTTATACGTCAAATACTAACCTGGCGAGCTTGCCGTCAATTAGTGAGCGCTTCCAAAAAACAAGTAAACAACAGTGGCGCGTACAGAGGTAAAATGTAGTACATATGTGGATTTATAATAAATTACATTTAAAATAAATAGTTTATGAGAATAAAGGAATTTTTGTAGCAACAAGGGTGCCAGACCTGAACTGATCCCCTCGTCCCTTCATAATGTATAAAGAAATTATTCAATTTGTAAAACCCTTAAAGGCGTACTTCATTGGTTCCCTTGACAGGCAATGATTTATTACTTTGCATCGAATATGATCGTACTATAGTTATAGGAATTTTTTGGGCCAAAAACGTCAAAATTTAATTATCTTTTTAAATATTGAACATTTTCATTTACAATAATGTATGACATTTGTAAATATGATGAATTTATACAGTAAATAAACTAGCACTGAAAGAGATATGTCCTAAAATACAATGTATAAAATTTATGTTTAAGTAGCTTTGGTATTTACATAAATGAGATAGAAAGAATACTTTTCCACAGGTGCAGTCTGACTTGTCACTTCAGGTGGCAAATTTGCAATAATTTTTCAGTATGGCAACACTAAATTATGTGAAAAATAGGGAAATATTTTTTATTACAAATAATTAAACATACGATTCTAGGAATATTAAAGAACTATTAATTTTGTGTAATTTCTAAATACTTCTTATATAGTCTTCAAACTAAAAATGATAAACAATAATGTTTATTTAAAATACATACACATATATTTTATCCGCTTTTGTAACCAAAATATCACATGTTATAGGTTATCTATCAGACGCCACATATTATTTATTAACAATTATATAAGTTACAAAGTGAATATTTCGAATATTTCATAAATTAATTTTTATTTAATATTTAAAATTAATCACAAAAATAGCTTGGTTTCATAACAATACTTATAATATTAATAAAAAAATATTTGGGTATTTTGCTATAAAGAAATTAATTAATTTTTGTAACAGGTGGCAAAATATTCAAAGAAATAAAGGGGAAAAAACTAAATTTAGGCCAAAATAATAAGTAACTTCAGACAATATCTTAAGAATTAATGTACATTAACTTTTTTGCATATGCGAATTAAAACATTAGTCTCGATTAAGTATAAGATTCCTAATAGCTGTTTTACATTGACAATTTATTGATGAATTAATTCATGAAGACGCTTCATCAAGAAATTGGACAAGTGAAATGCACATGGCACAAATCTGCTGTCAAATAACTTCATGAATTTATTCATCAAGTTCTTGACGAATTAGAGCATGTAGACCAGGCAAGTTAGACAATAAATCAGAATTTTTTTCTGATGAACCGATCGTGTTGCTGTTTTCGGCATTGTCTTCGGAAAAATATCAGGAAAAAAGTCTATCTGTTACACTTTGGGGCTGGATCGAAACTGTATTGCGGGTGCATAAAGTGCATCTTAGAGTGCATCAATTTTTCCGAATTTTCTAAAAAATGGTAAAAATTGACTAAAAGTTGCAGAAAGTTGGTTTTCGGGGAATCTGACCCTGAAAAATATGCCCGACGCCCCCCTCCCCCCCCCTCGGGCAATTACTCAGCTATTCGGTATTTTTCAGAAGCATCCCCTTGCCCTCCCTGGGGGCCCCAGGAGCGTCAGGCGTCAGTGTCAGAATCGAAATTTCCGACCCCAAAATCCCCCAAGTGGAAACTTAGAAGGCAATTACTCAGCTATTCGATGTTTTACAGAAGGCTCCTCCCTTGCCCCCCTGGGGGGCCCAGGGGCGTCGGACATACGTTTCAATGTCAGAATCGAAATCCCCGACCCCAAAAACCCCCGAGTGGGGATTTAGAAGGCAATTATTCAGCTATTCGATGTTTTACAGAAGGCCCCCGCTTGCCCCCCTGGGGGCATATGCCCGTTGAGCATATTTTTCAGGGTCAGATTCGGAATCTCCGACCCCGAAAACCCGTGCACACAAATTTCTACAACTTTTAGTCAATTTTTATCATTTTTAGAAAATTCGGAATAACTGATACACTCCAAGATGCACTTTATACACCCGCAATACAGTTTCGATCCAGCCCCAAAGTGTAATATATAGACTTTTTTCCTGATATTTTTCTGAAGACAATGCCGAAAACCGCAACTCGATCGGTTCATCAGATCAAAACACAGAGGCCGTGGCGATAGCGGTGAGATCGCTACGGCATGGAGACGTTGCGGTGGTGTCCTGTTACCACCCACCCAGACTACCACTACTTGACAATGACTTAGACAAAATCCTTTCCTGGCCCCAGACAATTGCCATCGGGGACTTCAACGCGAAGTCCCCCATATGGCACAGCGGGACGACGACCACAAGAGGTCGCGTCCTGCTGAATTACCAAGACAGACACGACGACTTGACTATACTCGGACCGACAGAACCGACACATTACGGACCCGTAGGACGCCCCGACGTTATCGACATTGCCCTCTTAAAATCTATACCGTTAAATGCCCAAATATCCACCCAATACGAAGGGTCTTCCGCCCACAATCCAATATTTCTGGATCTGGGGCGAAGACAGAGATATGAAGGCACCTTCACGAGGAGGTTCACTGACTGGGAGCGTTTCCGAACAGTAATGCAAGGAAACATGGCGCTCCCAGTCATCGAAACCACCCATGATCTGGAGGCGGCAATCCTCTCCCTTGAGACTGACATTAAAAACGCCCTGACTCAGACTACGACGGAGACTATTGTCCCCCGACTGACAAACCCCCGGGGCACCCTCCCCGATGACATAAAAAACTTAATACGTGACAGACGACGTGCGAAACGGC